CACCTGGACACACGCCTGTGCTTCCGCTGGTGAAACCCTCTGAGCCACCCATCTTCCAGGGTGGCTCCAGGTCCTGTCCCGCTCTGGGGGAGAGGGCTTGGCCTGCACCCCCGTGGGGGCCTTCTCCACCCCAAAGCCCCTCTTCCTGTGTGCTGCATGACCCATAGTCACTGCTCAGCCAGCTCAGACTCCAGTGACCCCACACGCAACAGAACGAAGCGATGCCCCGCGCCCCACGCATGCATCCTCGCGCTCAGGGGTGGTTCTGAGCCCGGTTACGGCTGTTGTGCCAGTCCATCCCATGGAGGCTCTCCGTCATCCTCACTGACGCACACTCGGCCAACCATGATGTCCTTTCTAGCGCTTGTTTTCTAGATGACGTGCGCAGAGCACACAGCCAGCCTCGTGTCTGAGGGGAGTTTAGCTGTGTGTCTTCTGAGGCTGATTGGTTTGTCCTCCTGGCAGGCCGTGGGACTCCAGTGGTCCCCGGTGTTGGTGACGTGTGCCTTAGAGGGACTTGTTTAATGTAGGCAGAAGCTTGAGTTCATGAGATGTTGATCTGGAAGGACGCCTTTTACAGGTGAAACACTTGGGAGAGTTTACAGGAATTCCTGCACTGAAAGATGAAATGAGACCCAATTTAGTGGTGGGAAAACAGGGGAGGGAGGGAAATGAGGAGGAGAGAGAAGTCATTGGAGGGGGTTTGGTGTTCCAAGGGCATGCCAGTGTCACCCAGGGTCACCGGGACACTCCAGGGGTGGAAACCTGCTGAGAGGGCTTCAGTGGCACTTCCGGACGGTGGTCCCCTTCCAAGACATCAGCCTGCGAGAGCCTTATGGTGCAGGCCTTCTCTGCCGCACGCGTGGGTGCTGTGCATCGGAGGCTGACTGGCTGCTTGGGACTTGGAAGAAAGCAGAGCCAGCTGTCACGGGCCACTGTTTAAGCGGCTCTCAATTCCAGGCCCACTTCTCAGCTACTTTTCCCTTCAGGTTAATGAGTTTATGGTGTCTTTTTTCCAAGCAGACTGGGTGTTTTTTCTGAGTTCACAGAACTCTGCTCACCTGATTCCTCTCTCTCAACTGCGAGTCTCTTGGTTAGAGCATACGAGAAGCACAAGCCCTGAGATGGTTGATCCCTGGCCGCCCAAAGCTCCCTCCCACACGCACATTTTTGTTTTGGTTCCTCGCTTCTCTGGTCACTGAGAAGGCGTGGGACCCAAGAGGGGTGATCCCACTGAGCCTTATCACAGTCATCTCTCACTTGAGAGGGTGGTGGGGCCAGAGCAGGGCAGCCCTCCGTCCACACAAGCATGTCCCCCTGTGGGGTTTGCACCCAGCAATGACACAGGAGCAGGCGGCAGACCCAGGCTGTGTCGCGAAGGTGGTCCGGGGTGGAGACCCAGAGGGCAGGTCAGAGGACCCCTGCACAGCCACAGGGGCCCCCGCAGCGGCCGCCTTGCCCCCAGGACCCACGTGCGCTCCTCCGCCAGCCTGTCTGGTCTGCTGTGGCTGGGACACTGGAAGGCCTCGAGTGAGTCTGCTGTGGCCAAGTCAGCGTTGGTCCCCCACACGACTCCTGGTCCTGGGTCGTTCCCCACTGGGGGCTGTCACACTGGCCCTCAGCGCCACCGTGGTGGCAATGGGCACCATGCAAGTGGCTGGGGCGTGGGTGGTGTGTGGGGCACTGGGGGGCACGAGGCGGCCACTGCAGGAAGCAACACTATCAGGTGGGCCAAGAGGACACTGATGTCCTGCGACACATCACTTTGGAATCCATGTCTGTGAAACAGGAAAGTGAGTTCCCCACAGAGGCTACTGACCCCATCCCCATGGGAGCCTTCACTGAGGGGGAGATACCCAGGGACACCCCTGCCTTTGCTCCCTGGCTCTTACAACAGGACACCCACGTGCCTGTGACCCTGCCCGTCCCTTGTGCACAGTCTAGTGGCTGAGTGCCATCCCCCACTGTGAGCTGCCCTGGCTCTGCCTGGACCCCACCAGTGTAGCCCCATCCCCAAATCCTGACCTCTGCTACCACTGGGGTTTATAAATAAGAGCAGACACGTCCTGCATGGTTTGGAAGGCGCCTCTCTGCTCCCAGGGGCAGCGTCACCTTGAGTGCTATGCACACTGTGGCCGGGACTGAGGAATCACCTAGTGCCTGGCCTGTGTGTCCACTGGTGGCCTGGGCACACTGTGGGATGGCCAGTGTCCCCTCTCAGGAAGACAGAGGAGAGCAAGTGTCTGCCCACTGGCTGAGGGTCAGGAGTGGTGGCGTTGAACTTGCCCAGGGTAGACAGTGTTTCTTTTAGGGTTGCAGCAAAGTGAAGAGGTGGGAGAGGGGCGGAAGGGAGAGGGCAGAACCCTGCACCCATGCACCGCTGGCCATGGGCTGTGGGCTGAGCTGGACTCTGCAGGGCCACGGGGTCCCTCAGCGAGGTAGGCAGTTTAGCCTCGGAGCGCAGATCCCTAGTCCACGGATGCACTGTTTTCTCTGAGAAAGACCGGCGTGTGTGGGGGGCACATGGAAGAAACGGGGTGTGATCCATACCGTCACCAGAGAGAGGGGGTGGGGGGAGAAAAGGAGAGAGAGGAAGCAGGGAGGGAGACCGAGAGACAGCGTGGGGGGCATGTGGAAGAATCAATCCTCGCTGCCGCCTGAGGGAGCGAGAGAGGGAAGGGGGAGGGGGGGAAGAAGGGAGGAGAGACAGGCAGACAGACATATCCATTGCATGCACACACACAGGCATGCACACACGCCACACACTCAGACTCACACACGCACACCCACATACATGCACAGGCACCACACATCCAACGCACACACACAGGTGCGCACACACCTGACGGAAGGACAGGGCTGGGGCACATGGCTGAGTTCCACACGTGTTGAGAGGCTTTTTGTGTTGTTCTGTGACCTTGTAACTTGTGTGTTTTGTGTGGGCTCTGTGGGGCACCTCTACTCATACAGGGTCACGGTGAGTGGGCCTTGACTCAACAGCAACACACAGCTTTCCACGCTGAGCGACATTTGCTTTACATGATCAAGAACTTTCAGTAAATTCAGGAGTAAGGCAACCAACACAACCAAATGGCACATGTCACCACAAGGACTCCTCGTTCCCTCTGCTGGGCGCCCCTGCCCACCTCTGGGCCAGGCAGCCGCAGGTCTGCTTTCTGGCTCTGCGGGTGCTGCCGCCTGTGGGGGAGGCAGAGCAGGCCACAGGAAATGCGTCTTCGTGTCCGGCTTCCCTCTCAGCCCGACGTGGGCAGGTCCTTCTCTGTCAGGACTCCATCCCTTTGATTGCTGAGTCGTGTCCCCCTGGCTCTCTGAAACCCGCATCTCTCAGACTCATGTTTCTGAGGCTTCATCCCAGAGCACGCTTGCTACCCCACCTGCTGATGGAGGAGGAAGGGGGACCGAGTAAGGAGGAGAGTGGCCGTGACATTCCCAGTGGGCTCTGAGCGGGGCTCCGTTTCTCCCCAGCCCCTCGTCAGGCGCACCCACCTGCTCTGGGCTTGAACACGCTCAGCGCGCTGCAGGGGTCACTGCCCTGTGGGGCCCTCCCCGAGGGCTTCCTCAGAGACCAGGAAGATGGTAGCTGCCTGGCTGAGCTCTGGCCCCGGACACCCCAGGCATGTGGGGTGAAGCTGGCAGAGGAAGGGAGGGGCCTGAGGAGCCCGAGGTCCAGCCCCAGAGACATACCTGTCCTGGTGCAGCCACGAGGCGGCTCCAGAGGTGACCTCCCTCCGCAGGAAGGGGTAGGTGAAGCCACTCCCTACACCAGTTGGCCAGATCAAACCACAGGGGTCTGGGCCCTACCGGGGATGGAGGCGTCCTGCTTCTGCAGAGGCCGACAGCCGCATCTGTCAGTGGGACAGGGGCACCTCTCCCTGTTCCCTTCTCCTCACTGGAGCTGTTGGGAGAACCCCCCCCACCACACCCACACATGCAGGCAGGGCCACAGTCACCCATTTCACAGAAGGGGCACAGAGAGGCCAAATGGCCAGCTGAGCCCGGCCCACAGGCCTGGCAGGGCGGCCTTTGCTGCCTGGGTCCAGTCCCTGGGAGCAGCTTCCCTCTTGCTGCTCTTCCACACACCTCAGGGTGGCCAGCACTGCTCTGAGGTGGCCTTGGCTGTGACCCTGGGAGGGTGCTGTCCCTCAGCTCCTGCTCAGATGGCCCTGCAGAGAGCAGCTACCAAGGTATTCGTTGTGATGGGAAAGCCTGGGACCTTCAGCTGCCGATTCCTGGCCATCAAAGCCAGTGAACTTGGCCTCGTAGACTGTAGCTGCCACACCTCGTAGGACAGTCCCCCCACGGGTGTCCAGACTCCTGGGCCCCACTCCCTGCTTCCCCGGGCAAGCACAGCTCCCCGGCTCCACAGCCGTCTTCCAGCAGACACAGGTGACCGATAGCCAGCCAGGGCAGACTGGAGGCGGGGTGTGGCCCTGAGGGTCAGCAGTGACCCTGCGAGTGGTGTCCTCTCAGCAGACAGGATGGCAGACGGGACAGCGGCTGGAGGTTTGCAGTCACTCTGTCCACTCCTTCTGGCTCAGGCGCCTCCCTGCTCACCCGATCCCTGCTCACTGGGGTATAAGCTGGGTCTGGGAGGAGGAGAGAGCCCCTGAGGCCACCTGGCAGATGCAGCCAGCTCAGTGTCCCCATCCCCCAAGTGGCACCACGTGCATTTCTGTCACCTGTGCTGTGCTCCGAGGGCAGCTGTGTGGCTGCTCCCTGCCCCATCCGGCCCACCCACTCCAGGCCCCTGTAGCCATCCATCCGACTGTCTGTCCATCCGTCTGTCAGTCTCTCCCAGCGGGCCCAGGGCCACGTGTCCCCACAGCCACACAGCTGTGAGTCGGGAGTGAGCACCCAGCAGCCATGTGTGCTTGGTTCTGTCCTTGGGGCGGGTGACACTGCTGACTGTAAACGCCGTCCCTCCCAGCTCCGCAGCCCGGTCCCACAGCCAATAAGGACCTCGTGTCTCCACAGCAGGGATGGCGGGCACCCTGCCCCTGCACCCAGACAGAGAGCTGGCCACCGGGCTTCGCAATGTGGTCGTGATGCTGCCCACACGGGAGCCGCTGCGGCTGCTCCTAGGGGTGAGTGGGGTCACAGGGGTCATGGGGG